GAAAATCGATCAAATTATAAGAATTAACTGAAATGGATTTGAAACGCATAAGCATAATCTTTACTTTTCACAACAATATCATAGACATGTCAAAATCAATTTAATTGTATTTTATATTAAAATCACATGAAATTTACTTTTGGTTTTGACACATATATTTTATCGGTTCTAAAAATAAACATCATGAGCTGGTGCTTTGAGCGCTTTCATAGTTATGTTTTTTTTTATTGAGACTGTTGATGTGTGATGCTGTCGGTATCGTCGCTCGATTTCCCTGGGCTACGGCTGACTTCAAGATAGAGCTCGTTCAATTAGCTTGAAGTAAGAACAACTCTTCCGACATGGAATGTAGTGCAACGTTATACTAGTTAGTGAAGAAAAATAGCACTGAAAAATTATGTTCCGTTTCGGTGGTGTCGTTTGTTAAAATCTTTCTTAATGCTCCTGTGTGCAATAAAACAACGACTACATTATATGAGTTCATGGAACTGGTTCATGAAGTTCCACCCTAATAAAAAATACAATAAACGAATGACAACCCAAATGATTGAACCATTCCACAAATGGTTTGGATTATACCCAGAATACGTCGTTAAGCAAAATAACCATAACTATTTTATTAGGGCAATACTAGTGCTGGAATCTGGATAGGCCGTGTAGAAGGCTTACAAATAGAATCTTAGCTCAGTAAATGTTGAAGTAGGATCATTTTTTTTTCAATCTTAATATTTACATTGTTTTCTGAAATATCTTATGGGACAATAAACTGTGTAAGATGTATTTTATTGGCAGCAATATTCATCTCAAAAACCATGCCAAATCAAATATTTGCTGTTGGTTTTCTTAAAAGGCAAATCTATTTTTATTACTTTTAAATCAAAAATAGACTGGCCCACAACAATAAAAGTTCTAATTTCCACGGGCCAACCCCCAGATTTGTGCCCTTAGGTAAGAAAACCATTATCCGAAAGTTTCAGCTCATTTGGTCCTAAGATGAACTGGCGCTTTTAGTTTGAACTTTGTATGGGGCCTTTGGATAAAATACACGACAAAATGACACTCCTAGACTCTATCGATTATAAAAAAGTTTCCCTATTTCCGATTTGCTTCAAATTTTCAAAACATGTAGTTCAGTTTATGAGTAACAACTTTACTGAAGATTGCGTCCAGTTAGTTTTATTGAGATATACACATTTGAATGTACATGAGCATTTGGTATATGAAAATTTCAACCAAATCGCTTATATCAACATGACACCAAAGGCGCCAGCCCGTGTAGCGTCAAAAAGAGCTGAAACATTCAAAGAGTGCTTATGTCACCTATTGACACGAGTTTGGATGTTGGCCTGTGGAAAATACGAACTTTTATTTTTAGTGGTAATCTAGTTGATACGTTGCATAAGCTATAATTATGCATATTATTTCTCCATACATTTCATCCAAAATTCCCATATAAAATTTAAATCAAAAGCGCCAGCTTATGTTACATCCGAATGAGCTTAAAATTTTCAGCGAGTGGTTTTCTCATCTAATGGCGCAAATCTAGGGGTTGGCCCGTTGTAAAAAATGATAAAAAATTTCCCCCATATAATTGTGGGCCAGTCTAGTCAAGAATAATCGGAAGCTATTCCAATTAGATATACATGTTTTCCTATAGTGCAAACATAAATTACTACCCAATAGTTTCTACATGTCTGTTTAATCACGGCGTATCAACAAACGTCAAAAATCGTTAAAAGTAACTCCATTAAATATACATGATAGAAGATATATCTTTAAGTGAACAATATTCATGGCGTAAACTGATATATTCTACTGGATTTTCTTATAGTGTAAACTTATATGAATTTCCAATAGTTTCTAGATGTCTGTTCCCACCCATGACATATCAACAGGTTTTCACAATAAAATATATCAGACAATATTCATATACATCTTACCCATCGGTAAACACGTTCGAAGCAAAGGAATATCATGTACTAAGTGTGTGAAATTACGATAGCAATCATTCCATATCGTAGTCATAGTTGTTGACTGATAATCCAATGGAATCTATCAACTATCACATAGAATGAATAAATCTTCTGGCATTGCTATGTTATAAGATGGATCCAATAAACCGTACATGTCGATTTGTTTCAGTATACTATTTGATACCGTTGATGAGCGAAAACATATCTGAGGGGTTTATTTTTTCAGCGGAGGATTGTACTATGGAGCAAAAGGCGCATTAATAGTTTCAGATTGAAACGGATTTTTGTACAAAAGTACCTTTGATACAACGCTTATTCTGGTAAGTATGATTCATGATCAGGTTTTGTTTTTTTTTTTAGTTGATTAACCTAAAGTTTTATTTAGCGGATTAGTGCGTTAGCGATCAGTGATTTAACCGTTAAATCAACGGCGCCGGTGGTGTAGTGGTAAGCGTGACTACCTCTCACCCCAACAGACCTGGGTTCAATCCTAGTTGGCGCCGCCGCGATGTTCTGAGGCATAACATCTCTGATCACGCCTTCCTTCGGATGGGAAGTAAAGCCGTTGGTCCCCGGTTCATGAGTTGATGGGTCGATAGGTAGGGTCCAGGTGTGGGAGCTGCCTTCCTGGCACGTCGGTAGCATTGGTGCTCAGCACGGAAAACAAGATCGACGGAAAAAACAAACCAAAGGAAAAAAAAAAAAAAAACCGTTAAATCACACTTTACGTTTTTACTAGCTTTAAATCAAAACTTGAATCAATACAATTTTACCACTGGGTTAAAACCCAAACATATAATGCATAGCTGTACAAAAATGTCTTGCAATCCATTAACATTAGAAAACATAATTGTCCGTGCAACCTACATTTACCGCCTTTACCCTGAATTTTGGAATAGTTAATATTCTTACCAATAGATGTCATCTTTCAATTATGTATTGTACTGTCACATGTCCAGATTGTAATATTTTTGATACCAAGTCCTTTATACAATATATAAACTCACTCAGTGATAATACGCCATGGCAGGCCGGCCCAAATCATCATCGCATTTTAATCATAAAATCACAACGTTATAAATCGGGTTCAATAATGATTTCCCAAAGTATGATTTTGCGGTTAGCGGCTTTAGTGCCCAGCTCTGAAAATTTCGTTACCCATATACATACGGATATTTAACATATTCAATTAGTTGATTCATAGATCTTATGCCAATCAGTTGAAAAGGAACAACAAAGAATCATTGCACTATGTTGAGCGTGGCAAGTTCGGTTCTTCCAATTGAGTTCTTTTTTTTTAAATCTTTGAGCTACTATTATTCCATTACAACATAAAGGAAAAAAATTTCCTAAATCCAAATCATAAAAAACATATCGGTTTCGGTGCATATGGCACTCGCAACATACCAGCTTTTTTCCTTCCCTTACCTTTAAAACACAGCAGATGAAAGCTGCTTTTCTGCCAATAGTAACCACTATCAGGGGCGCTGACGGAAAAATCTCCAGGCAACGTCGTCGGTGGACTTGTGCAATCACAAATGCACAATGCGCCTCTATGCAAATGCACTCTCATCTGCCTTGCGCCCTTGCACACGGGCATGGGAGTCAACAACAAGCAGAAGCAACCAGCAGTCTCGAGGAAGTGATTATCACATCACTCACTGACAAACACACTACTGGGTGATTTTCTTTCGCGCCTACCGCAGCAAAACGGAAAAGAAGAAACATAACCTAAGGCACAATGGGAAAAAAATCGAACAACTAACAACATTTCTATTTAAGCAAAGCCCGATCCGGAACGTGACGAAGAGCACAGAGGAACCATGTAAATACTTGGGCTAGATCTTGTTCGGGTCCTATGGTGTGAATAACATCTCAACCCAAGAGATTACGCTCTAGTTTACTTTATTTCTTGTACCACAACCAGCGCGATATCGTATTTCAAAAAAAGTTTTATGAGCTGGCGCGAAAGGAGTCAGTTTTCTACGGCGTTTTCTCAGGATTTGTTGTTCTGGTGTTTATTCACTTCACACCTCTTTGAGTGCTTCGGCACTTTGAAGAAATTCGCTGCATTGTTTGTTTGTGAGTAAATAATTTTGTGGAAATGCGCAAAATTATGTTGTGCTGATTGAAAAAATACAAGATATGAAAAACTTTAATCACATGCACACTTAGTCGTGGGGGGCCATGGGGAATTAGCAAATATTTGTTGTATTTTGTAATATATCATATTTTCTCTGCTGATTCAAAAAGTTTTCATTTTACGTTTCTGAACTTCTGATTTAATTTTATACATTGGTCTGCAAATACATCTGAGCTTGTTTGTCACCAATTGTTGAGTTGAGGTAAAAGATCTTTCAGCAACCCAAGTAGCACATGTTGTAACATAAAAGTGGCTGCCACTATTTTGTGACCACATTATGTGTCGTAAAATCATTACAGCAATCATGAAGGCAACAACAATGCAACCATAAAAGCGCAAGATGCGAGTTGATATGTAATCAATTCAATATTACAATACCAGTTACACAGTAGTGACGAAATAACAATATTCTACGATGAATATTGTTTTACATAGTACCTTTATGGGATAAATTATAATTAATCATAGAACATATTTTTAACGAAAACAAGTATCAGAAACAAATATGCAGTTTCATATTAACGGTGAAGTTGGGAGTTTCATATTCATAAATTTTTTTTTTCTTTATTACCGTGATTTTTAGCCGAAGGCTAGTTCATCACGTTGTACAGCAGATGGTCAGGCTAGATCCTGCCAAAAAATAGGTTTCAATTTGAAATGAACGTGACGTATAACCGGCTCTGATTACCCAACGAATGAGACAGACAACATTTTAAAAACTTAATGTAAGGTGAGGATTAGATCGGGGCTGTGGTGAGGACTGGGTGCGTGAACAAGGTAGAGCTCCAGCGTAGGAGACAGTGCCCGGTTTGGCGGAGAAACCCCGACGGCAGAAAAAATAGAAACGTGAGGAACACACGATCAGTGCAGCCACTGACGGGGGGCTAGATTTGGTCATACAAGTGGGCTTCTTTCAGAAAGGCGAACAGCGCAGCCAACGTCGAGGGGTCGTAACCAAGTAGATTACTGACGTTCTCCGGGAGTCCATGTTGTTTGCGTAGCTTCTGGAACTCCGGGCAGACACACAGCACGTGTTCCACCGAGGCGGGGACGCTGCAGACCTTGCGGAAAGGTGTCCCACCGAAATTACAAGAAATCCTCGCATGGCCGGTCCGGAGTCTTGAGATAATCCACTGGTCCTTGTACTTTTGGCTGTCCGGCCAGGAGCGTATGGTTCCCTTGATCTTCTTCAGGAAAGTGGTCCGCGACTGAACCATTCCTGCAGCCAGGCTTCCATAATGGTATTCACAATCCAACGCCTGACGTCGAGGAGGGGTACGTTCCTGGTGTAGCGGGGACGGGATGCACCAGATCCCGCCAGTCTGTCCGTAGCCTCGTTTCCGGGAACACCGCAGTGTCCGGGGATCCACGTAAAGACGGTTGAAGGTGAAGCGTACCGTGTAATGGCTTGTATCCAGGGGTGGTTCGGGGCTTCGGCTTCCAGTGTTTGGATGTCGCTGTGTGAGTCAGTTAATACGAGGATCGGTTGATCTGCCAGAGTGATGGCTGCGTCTAGAATAGCTGCGGCTTGAGCGGAACACTCCTCCGGTAGACTTTGACTCGTTGCAGTGTTCGGTCCCGCCACTCCGAGTCCAACTCCAGCCCGCGACCGCGATGCGTCCGTAAAACGATAAACGTGCCCCGGATAAACCGACTCCGAGCTCTGCAAACAGAACGTCTCAAAGCTACAGAGTTATCTCCGGCTTGGAATCCACTCTTAATCCGCTTATCTATTTTGACGACGTTTGATCGCCAACTCTTCTCTCCATGTCAGTGGACCCTAGCCACCGGGGGGAGGTCACGGTTGGCTGTAGTGCAGAGGGCTCTGTTCCCCTCGTTGAGGAGAAAGACCCTTTCATTCCCGGATGTCTTAGCAGCGAGGGCAGCGGCCCCATCTCTGCTCGAATATTGCGTACGCTCACTCGCTTCTCCGATCTCCTGCATATTCAACCGTTCGCTGAGCGAAATATCATTTCCCAATGTTTGAAAGACAGCTTCAATTGTGCCAATCCATAAAGCGGGTAATCGAAACCGAGCTGAAAACTACCGTGGAATATCAATTCTCTGTTGCATTAGCAAGGTCTTTGAAACCTTAGTGCACAATGCTCTGTACAATGTGGTTCATCCTATTCGGAGTTCCAGCATGGATTTGTCCAGCACCGCTCTTCTACTACAAATTTGTTGTGCTACACTAATACCCTGTTTCGAGAGGTTGAAGCCCGGCGACAGGTGGACTCCATTTACATCGACTTTTCAAAAGCGTTTGACACAGTGCCACACGTGTACGCTACCGAAAAAATAAGAGCTATTGGATTCCCTACTTGGTTAGTTGATTGGATTCTCTCTTACTTGACCGACCGCCATTCCTTCATTTCGATCAATTCTGCACCCTCCAAGGCCTTTGCAATTACTTCGGGAGTACCGCAAGGAAGTGTGCTCAGCCCAATGCTGTTTGTCCTTTTTGTCAACGATCTGTGCCTTCAGATTTCTTCATTCAAGCAAATGTTCGCCGATGACCTGAAGATGTTCAGAGTCATCGCGACCGTACTCGACTGTCTCGCCCTGCAAAATGACATAAATATGCTACTCCTATGGTGCCAAGAAAATGGCATGAGTGTCAACATAGGAAAATGCAAGGTGATATCGTCTTCCCGTCGGAGCACCACCGTCAACCACCAATACACAATTGGATCCGTGTCATCAACGAACATGTTGCACTTGTCACGGCTAAAGCTTCTTCGGTTCTTGGATGCATTCGACGCTATACGTGGCAGTTTACAGACATTTTTGCACAAAAAACATTGTTCTGTACTTTGGTACGTAGCATCCTGGAATACGCGGCCTCTGTCTGGACACCTTATCACGCATCGCTGATCATCAGAGTCGAAAGAATTCAGAAGGTTTTCATTCGATTCGCGCTGCGCAACCTTCCATGGAACGACCCGCTAAATCTGCCTGTATGCTGATTGATTTGGAAACCTTACGTGCTAGGCGCACAAACATTCAGCAACTAGTTTTTTTTTCGACTTACTGCGTGGCAACATTGATTGTCCTCAACAACTACAGGATGTCCCTCTATACGTTCCACCCCGACAGTTGAGGAGCTCACAACTTGTCGCTGTGCCGGCTCACCGGACAGGTTACGGTTTCAGCAATCCATTCGACGCTTGTCTGCGAGCTTTTAACGATACAAACGAGGATTTAGATTTTGTGATTAGCAAAAGTACTTTTAAAAATAGGATTTAAAATATTAGGTAAAGTAGTCTGTACGATTTTCATTTTTTATCGAAGATGAAACAACAAATAAATAATTAAAATAAAACATAAAACATAAATTTGGAAATAATGCAGAAAAATCTATATCTTATAATTTAATATTTTTAAGATTTCTATCACCAACCAACTGTGATTAATTTGCCTCCGGATCGTAGCAGTTACATTTAAATAAAAAAAAATGTGGTGAAATTTGGATTCCATATACCCCTGCTACATTATTCCCTCACATAATATGTGAATGATCCCTTAACGAAAACTGATTGAGACTTAAGAGGCAACTAACCATCAGTCGAATTGCTTCTGCTTTTTCTTCTTGTATAAATCATCACTTTCTAAATGTATTAGTAACGGCGCCGGTGGTGTAGTGGTAAGAGTGATTACCTCTCACCCCAGCAGGCCTGGGTTCAATCCCAGTCGGCGCCGCCGGGATGTTCTGAGGCATAACATCTCTGATCACGCCTTCCTTCGGATGGGAAGTAAAGCCGTTGGTCCCCGGTTCATGAGTTGATGGGTCGATAGGTAGGGTCCAGGTGTGGAAGCTGCCTTCCTGGCACGTCGGTAGCATTGGTGCTCAGCACGGAAAACATGATCGACGGAAAAAACAAACCAAAGGAAAAAAAATAAATGTATTAGTAATATTTATTGGCAGTGTGCTTCGTCCGAGGGGGACGACTCTATCTATGATGCAGAAAAGATTGTGTTTTGCTGTGACTAGTTGCGCGCACGCTGAGTAGATAAAAAGAAGATTTATGTCGATTTTGAAGATTTCCTGCAAAAAGATGAAGTAGATGCGGGAAATGAAAGATGATTTTTCGAAGATTGATTCGCTAGTGTGAGATTTTTTGAGCATCTAGAATTGAGATTTAGATGTGTCGCCCCCCTCGGCTTCGTCGTGCCATCATTTTTCAATATCGACTAGTATGATGGGGATAATCTTACCATCCTTTTAATTCATTTTTAAATACAACAGAAAATGTAACGTCACATACTCACATAAATGGAGCGTCACATACCATATCAGTTTACATTATATATCATGTAAAGTTCTGGCACATTTCATGCAAATTAGCATATATTGTATACAAAAGTCCATCGTTGTAAACAATATTGTTTACAAGTTGCTCGGTTGCATGAAATAAAATACAAGTTTACGTGAATGAATGTTTACATCACAATTAAAATTCAGAATTTTTATCTGTGTAGTGCATAAGAATCAATGACATTTATATAAGGTCTAGGCCTTCTTCTTCTTCTTCATTCGTTTATTTAACGTCAGTCACTGTTCCGCAATCTAGTGCCAATCACCGACGGACATCGATTGACGGCAACCGAATGTGCAGGAAGGCAGCTTCCACACCTGCTTAGGATATGGCACCCATTCAAACACACATGGGCCGGGACCAACGGCTTTACTTCCCTTCCGAAGGAAGACGTGACCAGAGATTTTTATGCCTCAGAAAAGTCCCACCGACCTCGGCTGGGATTGAACCCAGACCCATTGGGGTGAGAAAGCAGTCACGCTTACCCCTACATCACCGGCACCGGCTAAAGGTCTGGGCCAACAGGCAGCTTGCTGGTGTTAGAAGCAAAAATATTGTAAACATTGCTATACATACGGCGAACAGATAGAAATACGTCACGAACAACAGCTGTTTCGTGTAAAAAGATAAACATTGCAATGAAATACGAACACCACTAAAAATTTGCTCATTTCACTAAAACCAGTAAGCCCTTTGACCCAGACCTTATATAAATGTCGTAGAAAGCAACATCATATTGCCAAACAACGTTATATGAAACTTTGTTTACATCCCTGAGCGGGAAAACGAATGTTATGTTACGCACACTGCTGCCATCTCCACTGTTTGTGATTAGTTCAATTTTGTTTAACCTATTTAGGCTCTGAGCCATTTGGTGGATTATTTTAACTTTTGGTTAAAATTTGACAGATGGAAAGTTATCGATAAACTCCAGCCCAGTGTAGGCAACATGTTATACCGTGACAGCGGGCCCAGCAAAGCAAAATAAATGATTTGAGCTGCTGTCTACTGTCAAACGCTGCTGTTGGTATAGGCCTTGTCACTGGCCTGATTAACCCTGCTATCCGAGCATGATTACTTCTTACAGACAAGAAGTTAAATTTTGAAAACCTTGGCTAAGTTCTTCTCGAAAACCGGTCGATCGACAGCACAGGGATTTTCGAACATTAAAAAAAAACTTTCGAAATGTCTCTTTTAACCCCGAGTTAAATTTAACTCGGGAAATGCTTCACAGCCTTAATTGGATCGTTAAAGTGCCAAAAAAGATCGTCTTAGTTTTATTTATTCAGCGTTTGATATTATTTCACCATTAAATACATACACTTTCCAAAATAAATGAGTCAAGATTAGTGTTTGCTTTTTTAAATAAATAGAGGCAAAAAATATGGTAATGCTTATTCAATAATACAAGCAGAAAAGTGGAATTGAAGTGGATTTCTCAATGTGTTATTTCGTTCACCTAGAAATTTGAAAAGCGCTTTTTATTAATTTTGTGTAGAGGTTTTGATCTAATTTCCGTCCTACTAAGCACAACCCGCGCTTCACCTCTCTTTTCTGAACGAGCTTAAACAAAAAATGGAACATTTATGTCAAAGATGACTTCTCAATTTATTCACCTTTCCATACGTACCGTTAGATTTGATAAAGAGCCACAAATTGTTGAGATATTGTTTAAAATCTAAAACTGCTTCTTGATTCTAAGTTCGTTTTACGAGTTTCAATTCCGTCCTAATGCATTGAAACGCCATTAGATTTTCTTCGTCCTACGGATACACGTAGAAAAAGGGGATTCGCTAGGAGCGCTTCTTTTGTTTTGAGAACAATGAGCGTAAATATTCATACAATGTGCACTAACAGGATTTATGTTATAGCTAATGAACTAACGCATCGGAACAAACTTATTATTGATTTGTGCATGGTGAAATCCTTGATATGGTTGATGTTTTCTGATTGATACAACGGAAATGGGCGATTACGACAAAGTAGCGCTCTACTCTACCGAAGGTTTCAAGGTATTGATTTTAAGTTTATGTCACATTTCTTCTTACTTCTGCAATATAAAGTGAATTCGTTTTTCGATTTCAAACCAATCATTCTATTAACTACGACTATGGATTCAATATCACTCAACTTTTCACGCACACATTGTAGTAGCTACAACCAGCAAGCACTTTGGCACTCCCAAAGATCGGCTCAATATCCACAGGCAATTTGCAACACTACAAGCTCGAGCATGCAAAGTAACAGCAGGAGCTGTGTGGATATTCAATTACGAGAAGCTGTTCATCTAAACATTCATCTATACGGGGCGTCGTAAAAGAAGTCCGAAAAACTGCCACTTGCCATT